GATGATGATGATGATGATGATGATGATGATGATGATGATGATGATGATGATGATGGTGATGGTGATGGTGATGATGATGATGATGATGATGGAAGTCTTATGATGGAAGTTTTTAGTCCACATTCTTCAAGAGTGACCAAACTTGATCCCCCAGATTGGTTCGGCCTACAACCAGACCAAAAGGAAAGGTCACCAACAGGGACTCCAAAGTTCAGTCACGCGTGTCACGAGCTGAAGAAGCGGATGGATTTGTTTTTGTTCTCCAACAAAAAGGCGGTTGTAGAACTCGTTTGACCTCTTTTGTGATTGTGGACAGGTTGCACCACCAGCAACCTGTATCCAATGGCCAGGTGTCACTCAGGTTTGAGGTGATGTGACTTTGCACCTCAATATCGTTCCCACCGCATGAAGGTGCCAAACCACTCAAGTGCTATCAATCCTGCAGGGCCAAACATGGTGTTCTTCTACCGTTCTAAGGGGCCATGTCTGGACTACGTCTGAACCCACTCACAAACCTACGACTGAAAACCTGTACAAGTTACGCATATTTATATACCAAATTCATGACCAATCTCCGACTTGAAGTACTGCCCGATGGATCCACCGCCCGCATGATCCGGTGAATCTTTCAGTCACCCTGGAGTAGTGAGACAAGCTCAAGCGTCAGTGAGCCGGTGAATCTGACTGCTCGACCTTCCAAACTACCAGTGAGCAACTCAAGTAGCTAAGTAACTGCCCTAAAGCTGCAGCCATGGATAGTTATTCTCGCCCTCACCCATGTTGAAACGAAACGGGTGATTACAGTATAGATTAAAACAAATATCGGAATGACAAAGAAGGACAATTCTACGGGATTCCAATTGTTACACCCTCCGTTGTTGCTGCATCTCCCGTAACTCTATATAACTCCATAACGTCCGGTCCTCTAGGCGAACCGAACGCCGAACAACGGAAGTGACGGGAGGCCTCAAAGACCTGTCTGAGGAATTCCAGCTCATGCAGCAACTGACGCTGTAACCGTCGGTCCTGTAGCTCCTGCGGGTCGACCCGGTCCACGGCACTGGTGGACGATCCAAACGAGTCGAACACGACCGCCCATGACCGCCCATATTTTTGGATACCAACTCTATAGGGGTTTGTCTCGGACGTCATTGAACAAGCGTGGAAGATGGGTGACAAGGTTGGAAGTTGCAATTGACACGAATCATAGGTTCTCTATAGCGTCTGCTCCACTGGCAGGGCCGGATACTTCAGGGCCGCCCTGTGTTTCACATGCACGGCGTCTGCTCCGCACTAAACCATTTGGTGCTTTCGGCCGGTCTTCTGTGTCGACCTTCCCGCCTGGTCGCTCTGCGCAATGTTCAGCGTGTTTTCCACGATCACGCCTGGTCGCAACAAGCACCGATCCAACGGTGCGGAGATGCGGAGATGCCTGGGTCTTCTTCGGGGAAAACCATATAACATCGACATGTCGGTGTGCCTCAAGCTGAGGACACTTCAAGCATCTTCAAACCAATGACAAACAGCGTAGTGCTTTTGGGATTGGACTGTTTTTCATCTAAGAAAGCCAAACTTCAAAACTTGTTCGATCTCTTCACTGAACGGCACTGGCATTTCGCACCTGGAAGAAAAGGTCGTTTGATGAACTGAGTGATTGTTTCACCAATCTTGACATGCATTTGACGCCCATGTGAATGCTCACTTAAATGGACCTCTTTGATCTGCAGTCTTCCAAATCTGGCTCGGTCAAATTCCAATCAAGTTCCACTGATATGAGGACTTGTGCTAAAAAAGTGCGTCTGATGATAGATCAACATGAACTATTGGTAGCTTTTAGTTTCTAATTTATGCTTTCCTTGCTGTAAGGCAAACGCATATGATCCTCTTATTGGCTAGGAGCTAGGAGTTTATGAGTTTCTTCTTGCAAATATATATTTTTGGCCCTGCTTTCTATCGCAGCATGAGTCGCCCCGCAAAAAATAGAAAAACGACCCGGCGGTTTTTTTAGAACGCGAACTGCGCACCAACAATGATGTTGAGCAAGCCGAAGGTTGTCAGGAAAATGAACCTCGAAGCAGAGATGGAGGGAGATGTAAAACGAGGTAGCTCTTGGAACAGCGGCTTGGCTGAAGCTGGAACCATGCAGTGTCAGACGTCGATCTGAAAGTCCGGAGCTGATTTTCACGCTTCACAGGAACATCCCTCCCAGCACTTGGAGACTGATACTGCACTTGTAGACCACCAGGGATCCGGGTTTTCTCCGCAAACTGCTGGCTGGTAGATGTTTGTTTGGGACTTGCCCATCTTGCCCCAAATGGTCTTTAGTGGTCTTTATATCAAGTGCATGAGATTGTGTGAGGACCCTTTGAGGGGAGCATCGGTTTTGGCCCGTTCCTTCTGTTTGGCAGATGTGCGCGAGGTCTCCTCGAAGGCAAATCACATCGAACCACCATCCGTCGTTTTCCCTCCGTTCGCCACCGAACACGGACCGTCGGCTGGACCGTCGGCCCTCCAAAACCGGCCCAAAGCACACATGGTGATGACGGTTCAACTCCAATTCGGCTGCCCCAAAAAAACCCGATGAGGGAAGATTTCAAATTTCAAACACATCTTGGGAGAATCCTCTCTTGGGCGTGTTTGGGAAGCCCCACAGGGTGTGTGAGGAGCACATGCCTTCCAAGTGGAAGAGATGTGTATTGAATATCGGGCTGCTGACGCAAGAGGTGCTTGCACATCAGCAGCACGTCCACGTCGCAGTGTTTAAAGTTTGTAGTTTAATGTAGTTTATCTTTGTCAGGGCATCAACATGCATCTCTCACATAGTTGCAGGCAACAACCAGGTCCATCACCGTGTTGGTGGAGGTCTTCCAATGAACATCACTATCACCCCTGTATCACCCCCCCTCGTAATGTAGACTCTTGATTAACAGCACCCCCTCTACGAAAAAAAATAAACATCACAATCCAAAAGGAAGTTTGATGTGAGTGGACACCAACTTTCATCATGCAGTTCGAAACTCACTTTGTCTCACATCGTGACAGCACTCACAGGCCGCCACATCACGTGCTTCAGCCCAGATGCAGAAGCAAAATGATAAACAGCAAGGGCTGCCGGTCCACCAAGGGTCGCCCCACCGTCATGGCCCAGGACTCCTGGAAGTGGCTGGGGGCTGGGGCTACTGACCTCTTCTACACTTTCCCCTAGGCGAAAGGTTAGATATGTTTGGTGGCTGCTTTGGCAAGGAAACTGATCAAAGCATGCGAATGCTAAGTTAAGCATATGTATACATATATATATATATAGTAAAAAACAAATACACCTGAGGATGGACATGACCAAGGGTCCAACATGGGTGCAACCTGAATGCACTTGGACTGTGGTTCCCTTGTCCAGCAGGATCGAAAGAACATGCTTCGTGAGGGGCGTCCAACCATCAAGGCATTCGCCAAAAACAAGGTGGCAACATGTGGCAACACAAGGATGCAACATGAACAAAACAACTCTGTGAACATAAATAGGAGAAAACAAAAAAAAAATGGTCCCCCTTCTTCGCACGACCTTCTTCAAACTCAACAGCCTCCCAGTGGGATGACCCCTTTCCCCATCCAGTTCCCACGACAGTGGCCCCTCAAGGCGCGACGACTCGTATACCCAAACACTCCATGGGAGCGGCATGGGGTCACTGGGTCGCTATTCCAGTCCCATGGAGTCACTGGAGTCCCATGGAGTTCTTTTGGGATGGAGGACCTCAACAAAAACCTAAAGAGCTGGCACTGGTCGTCGAATCAAGGACCGAGAGATGGAACAGGGGTCGTCAGTGATGTCTCCCAAGAGTTCAGGGTGTGAGTCCCAAAAGATGTAGGCCAAGTGCATCCCGAAAACGCTTGGCTGGCTCCAGCTTGAAACTCCCAAAGAGTGATATTGAGGAAATCTCCAAGGTGCATCCTGGGAATCTCCAAGAGTCTTGCCGGAAATCTTCCTATCTCTTCCTGGAACTAACACGGAAGTTGAGTTCACCCTGTGTTTGGTATTCGGAGGAAGGTCTTCCTTTCAGGGCCATGAAATCCACTTCCAATTCCAGGGATTGTATCTCTTCAGGGGGCTCTGTTGCTACTTGCAGACTTTTGCTCCAGCACCATTCGCTGGATCCAGTCTTCTCTTCCGCGTCTGCCACGCAGAAAAGTAATCCCGTCCAGCGTGAGGACTTGGACAAGGGTGTACATGATCTTGGGGATCGTTCCTTGCCGAACACGCGAGCCGCCCGATGGCGGTGCTTTTGGGGTTCATTCGGCGGCCGTTTTCAACCGGCGGGTCAATTGCTGTAAGCCACGTGGGGTGAGCTTCGGTGGCGAAACGCAGGTTGTGGGAAAAGGGGAAGAAGTGAAGCCAAAGTAGTTGGGTGTACGTGTCCAGGACGTGTCCAGGTATTGTGGACGTCACCCACCACAAACCAACCAAGACATGAGGATGGAAGCTCGGAGAGAGCAGCTTCATGGATCTTCATGGTCATACAATTATTATCAATTATATGCAATATTAGCACTTTTACTGCTGCATACATGAATGAATTAGCACACGACCTGGTATACGCGGGGCACGCTCAGGGAACTCCTTGTAGATGAGTGTTGCATTCCAACTTTTCTCAGGGCCCATCAAGCCCAAATCGCATTTACAAGAGTGAGAGTTGAGTGTCTGCTTGAAGCATGCCACCAAACCAATACTGATTGTATCCTGTGGACATAGTGCAACCAAACAATGCAGCCCATGCAGTAAGAATTGAGTTTGAACTTGTTCATTTGTGGAGAACAGCCGTAACAGCACTGGCTATAGCGTATCTTCGAACGGGGTATATATATATACAGTATATACCTGCATATACCATGCGTTACACTGCTCCTTCCACGGGCTCATTCTGCCACCAAAGGTCGTCCCCAAAACAAACACCACATGGATGGCAGCCCATGGCCATCGAAGTGCCAGAATGTCAAACAGCTTGGGTATTGCGTATACAGTATCCGGTATATCCATGTATATCCCATGACCAGGGCCCAATGGATGATGATAGTGTGGCTGCAGGCCTTTCTCCAAATTAGTGACCATCGTTTATCAACTGTTACAGGTCATGGGACACACCCACCACACCGCATCCACGGTCTTCCGACGCCCGGAAAGGGGGGTTTTGAGTGGCTTTGGGGCGGTGCCGAACAGGCGCGCAAAGCGGGGGTGCGGAAAGGATATGAACTAAAGCCTGACCTTGATTGGCGGTGGCGGAAGAAATCTGCCCTCAGAGATTCAGGCTGACTGGCAATGGCTGACATGACTGGGTCAAAATCCGGTGCCCACGTAGGTTTTGAACCTCCCAAGAGTCACTCCGTTCCGTTCTTCCTCTCGGTGGGAAGGAAAAACCCAGGATCCCCCGGTGTTTTTGATCAACCGAGTGGCCAAAGTACTGGTCGCACTCCGGGTCCCAGTCCGCGAAGAGGCCCTTGCAATCCACCGCCAGGCGTAGGACTCGGTCACATCGATGAAGAAATGGGTGGAGCGGTCCAACGGTTCGTATGCTGGAGTAAAGAGAATCTGAAGTAAAAAAAGAAAGCATGACAGCATGATACATCATGATACGAAAATGTATCCTTTTTTCTTTTGGTGTTTGTTCCCATAGCTCTCTCTCTATAGCTCTCTCTCTCTATTGATTGCTATCTTTCAAGTTCAGCTTCGGCGCCGTGGGCTTCGGCTTCCCGCCGTGGGGCTTCGGTCCATGAGATCGAACGCCCCCGTCCAGTGCCGGCTTCGATGGCACATGCAACTTGCAACTGGTTAAACAGGATGGTATAACACTAGACTAGACATGGCCAAACACACAAATGTGATGGCACATGTCCGAATGGTCCAAACATGTCAACACTACAAACCAGGAGGGCTGAAAAGGTGGATCAAATAACATACATTAACACACCCTCCCTCTAAGAATCATGGACAAGATAAGTGGACAATGGTCCCTCAAAAGACTACGTTCATTCATCAAGAGGGGGGCTGCGCTAGATTCACTCAGGTCAACCATGGTCAACTTCCATATGCATTACCGTGGGAGCTCCTGTGGGAGCTCCTCAACACCTGGGACGGCAGCGTCGGGTAAACCATGCGACGACGTGGTCCAGGCACTTCCAGCTGCTTCCAAGTTGCACACGGCAAAAATGTACATCACTAAGCAAAGCCTCTCGGAGTGCCCAACACATGTCGTCTGAAACCCTTGAAACCCAACATTTTGCCCACAGGCAGCGGCAAGGGGAAACACACAAACATATTTAAAAACACACACACACATGTCAGCAACACACTTGTTGGTCGTCCTCCAACGAACCTGGCTTCTCACATGATATGGTTTTCTGTCTGATGCTTCCCAGTGGCATGAGGATGACCCAATTCAAGGTGCTGACGGACTCGATGAGTCCCCGCACCATGAGCCACAAGTTCCTGCCACAGCGACTGAGTCTGGACGAAGAAGAGGTTACTGTAACCGCTATAGTCTCCGGTCTTCGTGTTTGGGAGACCAATCCCTGAGAAAGGTTTTGCAGGTTATCCACTGACTGAGTAGAATGGAGATGGGAACCACCCTGCCCAGGGTGGAAGTAGGTGGAAGAGATCGTCCTCAATGAGTTGTTCTCAATCGATGCCATTGAAGGGAGCAAGTCAAGCTCCCTTTACGCAGAGATTTCACCAATGCGCTGGTGTGTCTGAGAAAGGTATTCCCATCGGATTTGGCCGGAATCTGGACCACGATCCGACCAATCATATAGTTATTATCTACAGTCAATTACATTGAACTATCCATACACAACACATCACAAAACTACCTTATCTACCTACCATAGTCCTGGCCGCTTGCTGCTACACTTCACAAGCTCCTCAGAATGCTTCTTGATGATTCGGTAGGGACTGGGCAAATTGCTACTACTGTGTCGACGAGCTTGGAACGGTGCGCCGCCATGAGCTGCCAATACCAGTTCCGCTTCGTTGGTCAAACAGTTGCAGTGGTCTTTTTATAAATAACGGATGCCATCAAATAACGGGCTTCAGTATCTTCAGTTCTGTTTGCGTTGCTGAACATTGACCATGATCTTCTGGATGCTCCAACATGCTCCAATATGCTCCATCTCACACACGTATTTCCTATACAGGTCCAGGTCTGACTCAGTCAAACCTGGACCTGGACCTGAAAACCCCATTGTTGGTAGTGCTTTCGTATGACCAACTCCGCTGAGGTCAAACCGGCCTGTAGGGATTGACTTTGCTCAAACCGACCTTTGCTAGTAATTACAAGTGCCTCGCTCGTTGTAACAAGTGCCTTACTAGTAGTAACAAGAAGCTATTCATTAGAATTGAAATTTACCTGCCATGAGCAGTCCATGGTGTTGGAGATCCAATCCATTCGGAGGCTCCTCCTCTAAAATCCGATCGTGGCATCGACCTCCACCGGCCATCGCTGTCGTCGTCGCACCCCGTTCGCCGTGGCGCCTAAAGCGCCGAAGGACTTGAAGAAGCTTCACCAAGCGCAGCAGTCGAACCAAGCGCACGAGCCGGAACAGGACCAAATCCCCGCCATAGTCCACCTGAGAGGGATTAGACCGGAAGAGAAAGCTCGGACTCGGATTACGAGGTGAGGTGAGGCAAGGATTGGACCACCAACCACCAGGCCTTTTCGTGTTCGCCTTGTTGAATGAGACTTCCTGAAGGGGAAATACCATCTGCGTAGGAGTCCCCTCAGCTTGTTTGGAGAATAAAACTTACAGTAACCGGACTCCACCTCTTCTTGTTTTGAGTGCGAGAACAATCCACTGACTGGGTAGGGCATAGAGATATGGGACACTTCTTGCAGCCTATGAGGGATGCTCATGCCCCCGCACGAGCGCGCGACGAGATCTCGCTGCGGACGTGCTGCCAAGAATGGCATGATCCAAGCATCAAAGACCTTGGTTTGATGGGCGGCTGATGGGTTTGCCTTCCCATGAGATCGGGTAGAACAACTCCAAAAACAAACCATCTGTTCTAAATCAAAAAAACATGGTCCACCAGTAGCTGAACCTCTCCTTGCGTTCTCTTCCACCTCGGGAGCCGGGAGCCAGTTCTCGGTGATTATACTCAGCGTCCTCGACCTGTATCAGCTCCCCCAACGGCACCAGCGGGTGCCGAACTGAAGCCAAGTGACTGAAAGAACCTCAGTGGTCTGCACGCGCCGTGATGAACTCCGCGGGGCGTTCGAAGTTTCCCCAAGGGTTAGAGTCGGTTAGAGAAGACGGGGGCTTTGGGGCGTACTTCCCCTCACAACATGTGATAACTTAAGGATTGATCTTTTTCTGAGGGGTCGTAGCTGTATCTATCCAAATACTGTTGCGTTACGAACTCCAAATATATGATATGTATGTATATGTGTGTGTGTCCAAATATCTTCAAATAGCTTATAAACTTAAACCATCAGATGGAATGAACTTCACTCAACCATGCGGCGGAACTCCCCTGGGACCGTCCATAAGTGAAGGTCTTGTTCTCCGGTTCCACCAGTGCCGCAGATCGACGCACGTCACGTCCACCATCGACACACGTACTTGGGTGCTGAGCGTCGAAAGTGCTTCCAACGGGGTGGACGTGGCGAAGCACGGAGTCGCAGGGAGTCAAAGCAAAGCGGGGAGGTAACGGTTCACCCACGTCGCGGTTCACCCACCGGGGGTCCATGTTATATACGTAAAGCTTTATGTGTACGTACAAAAACAACATCAGGTTCCTCGTTCCGCTCGCTCTTTCCCATGGAAAAGCAACACCATGCCAGCCACGTGCTACGACATGCTACGACAACTCTTCCGCTTTCACTTTCAAGAATCACCAGTCGACTGCGTCCCAGTCACCACCAAGGACATGTCGACATAATTGAGGCAATCCTGCAGCGTCGTCGACTTCCGCGATTTCTGGAGAACACCAAAGAAAAGCCGACCGTTTGGCCGTTGGCCAGCAACTGCTCCGCCCAAAGCATGTGTGTGTGTGTCAGTGTTTCACTGTTTGTGCGGGAAGGTCAACTGGTACAGTAGGAAAGCTCCAACGTTATATGGAAGGTGAGTCAAATCAATCCTGCTCTGCTGAAAGCAAAAAAGAACTGTGACCTAAGGCTAGGAACACTCTTAGTCACTATGCACACTTTTTGTTCAAGCATGTCAGCATGTCCTGGCTTCGCCTTTTGGGCTTCTGTTGCGCAGAAACACCCTTCGCAAGTTCAGGGTTGGAGTAGCCCACTATTGATGAAACTTTGGACTTTGGAGGTTCCATGTGGATCTGGGTGTTTTCCTTCAGTTGTTTATATGTGTTGCACCGGGTTTTCCGTTCGCGATGCCCACAAACACCACACCACGCCGGACGTGCACTTCCACACCGATCCATCCGTGCTGATCGGACGGGGCCTGGAAGTAGCGGCATCGCAACTCCCAAAGCTTTGCAACCATCTCCTGAGCTCTGAGCCCGGAGAAGACTGGCTCTTGGTTTCATGGGATCTGGTTCGTCATGTGCGCATGCATGGAGAAGTATGGAGAACAGACAGCGGTTGGCGCACCAAGTGGTTGGCCCTGACTCCCGAGACGCTTCCCGAACGAAGGGTTATATATATATATATCCTAGAGCCTATTTGACCTCTGTTTTGATAGGAAAAAATCATATTTTGGGTGGTTGGTGATCCAAAATAGAGGTCATTCAGGTTCTAGGTATATATAACCCTTTTCAATCTGTTCATATTTCGTGTGGGACACCCAAAAGGTCATAAATGTTCCACTGACTAGGTATATAGGCGTCAAAATCGTCAGGGAGGCCTTTCAATGACCTTCTTCCTTGGTTGACCCAACCGCCGAGCTTGTCTTTCGGAACCCCTCCAAACGTCCACAGATGCTGCTGAGGTACAGTGATCCAAACAACCTCACATTGGGCGACATGCCACGTGTTACGAGGCTTCAATTGCAAGGGAGGTTTGGACCCTCCATGGCCAGGTGCAAGTTGTAGTGATCAGTGATGGATGATGAGTGGTGGGTGATTGGGGCGGGATGGAGCTGGTAGATACTCTCTCTCGCTCTCTCACTCTCCATCTGTCCCTGCTCATCCCTCTGACATGTATAGTGTGTACGGATGTGTACGGTGTGTGCACGGTATGTTCATCGAATCAATGACGGGGCGGTGTGCACGTTCTTGTTCATCCTGAGGGGCTCCAGTCCTTGGACCTGGCACCCGGGCCCCCAGTCCCACCTCCTTAGAAGGTACGACTGGAGGTTCTGCCTGCTTCGTCGTCGCGTCTGGTTGTGTCGGAACTCTTTTTGCAGGAATATGGATGATCAGGTGTAAAGCAACATATGCCCCTTCACCTTCTAGGGTTCAACACCAAGGGCTTGTCCAAGCAAAGTGTGGAAGCTGAGGACACATAACCATAGCACTTGGAAGTCAAACTTGAAGATCCTGCGTGCTCTTCCTAGCGCTCCTTTTATACAATACTAAGCAAATTTGCGTCAATCAGTGATGCTTCCAAAAGCAGTTTAAACTATTACTGACCCGCATTTAACAAAGTCAAACAACCACTTTGCAATTCCAATGCCCCTGCTCGCTTCCAGGTCCACCAACTTAATACAATTGACTTAAGAGCTGCAAGTCATTTCAACCTTTAGAAATGACATGTTGACTCATCTTCGGTCCAACTACGAGCCACCCAGTCAGCTCATTGAACGTGGTCACTTATAGGATGACTTGAGACATATTTTTTCTTTTAAATCACTGTTTGCTTAAAACACTCGGATTTTGACGCCTCATTGATCGGCACGGTTAGGCTTACTGAGGTGCGCTACCGACCTCAGTAAGGATAGGGGCAAAGCATAGCCCTCCCCTCCCCTTACTGAGGTGATTCCTTTAATTGCACGTTCCGCATTGAATGGAGTCCATCATTTTTTACCAAACATGGTTTGCAATGAGTCTTTTGGCTTTCAGCAGTGGTGGACGTGGGAATGTTCCCAACTGGGAACTTTCAAGTGTATCTCCTATGGAAACTTTAATTATATAACAGTGACCACATTGCACTGCTGGGAAGTCAACTTCTGTGCAGTTTTGCAATAATGCCTCCCAAATGCAAATGACTTGTTGACCCTCTTTAATGCACCCCAGATTAGACTCCCAATCTTTTCACTCTGATATCCAGTTCCTGAGAAATTGTCCTGTATTTGGGGATGCCATTTCTTATGTCTTGTGCGAAACCACAAGCAGGTGTTTCACCGCACTGCGGGTCCAGTGAGATGTGCCGGCCAGGCCACGCAAAAGAAATTCCTGACGCGCCGCCGAACCGAGACCGTGCGACTGCTCGACGTTGGCTCTGTCGTATCAACCCGGAGCGGAACCATGTGCAATCGGGGTCAACGCCTGGAACCATATAGCCCACCATGTAGCGCAAGACCTTCCAAGTATGTCAAACAAGGTCTCCTGTTTTGACCCACAGCCCCGTGAGCTTCGCTCCAACATGCGCGGAAACTCCGGCAGGTCCTGCGGGATGCCCGGTAATGCATTCTGGGGCAGTGCACCATCTGAATTGGAATCCACCACGCTTGACAACTTGAGGACTTGAGGGGGATCACTCCCTGTAAGGAAAAAAACTTAAGCATCAAAACCTTGAGGCCAACGTGGTTCTTCAGTTCTCTTCATCTCTTTTGTAAGTCCTCACGGTCCGAAGTCCTACACTCCCTGGTCGATGGGCTGGCCCCCGATGACCCTCGGATCTTCCGCATGGGTCGACAGGTCCGGGGTCATCCGAGACCGAAGCGGCAGGTCGACCGTCCGGTCGTTTGTATCGCCCAGAGTGTCATAGAAAAAACAAAGAACACCCATGTTCACATGTATGTTCATCTTGCTGCCTGGCATGAGCATTGGTCTGGCGAGAGAAGATAGCTGGTGATAATGCTAGTTGCGGGCTCACGCCTCGTGCTAAGGCGTAAGTAAGCGAGTGGGTCACGTCTGCGAATAGGGGAAAAGAGTCGTGAAGTGGCTCACACCATGAGTGCTGTTCTTACAAGTGGGCCAAAAAAGCTGCTGCTGGCCAAAGATTACTAAGGCCACCCTGCTCAAAAACTGTGTCCAACGAGGTGTTGGCCAGAAGTGGCAAGGCTGCTTGGTATGAGCCCCTTAGCCAGCTTGAATCAAGTGATTGTCTGTCTACCGTGCCAAGTGCACTATATTCCTACCAACCGCACCTACTTGGACCCTCCAAACTTACATCACACTGTCTCCAATCCCTCTCTCGAAGGGTCTATGGATCCCTAGGGCATATACAGTATGCAGCATCGGGTGGACCAGCCGCACCAATCGTCGCATCCTCCGCTCCACCACCAAAATGCACTCCAGGCGTCTCGATGATGATCCAAATGGTGGGATCTGATTGCTCCTGGCCCACCGGACCCTATGGTCCGTGGTCTCCCCAGGTCCGGAGGGTCCGGAGGTCCGTCCGGAGGGTCCGGTTAGTTAGTTTTTGAGACATTGGCGGGGTGAACATGATGTCAACGGGAATTGGTGCATGACTTCTTTTCATACTTGGTGGCCGCACGGTGATTCACCACGCTCCCGGTAGCTGCTCTAGCTCCTTCATGATTGGGCTGGGCATGTCTCGGCATATTTTCGCCCCTCACCTGAAATGGCCAACTGGCCTCTAGTTTGACAACCAGACTCTTGGCAGTGAACCAACTCCACAAAAGTGAGCTGGTGCATCGAACAGATTCTCCAGAATGGCCGCATGTTCCTCAACGCATGTTCCTCGTCACCGCAAAACCACAGTGCGCCCACACTCAACAAAACCCCCCAACAAAACCTAAAACACGTATTGCTTAACTATACCAGGACCCTCCAAGGGGTGCCCAATGGAAGCCTATAGGTAGTGTGGGGTAGTCCAGCCAGGACACCCCTTGGAGGGTCCAGGTGTAAACACATTTATATTGTTTGCAATATTCTTGTCAAAAAAATGATTCAAAGGCTCTGGAGCGGGGATGCCGGGATGACTATATCAGAGCCAGGCTTGAAGGCACCGACAAGCTGAGAAGGCTCGAGAAGTGGCAAGAACCATCGCCAAGCCGCCTGAAACCGTGCACCTAGTTGATTGGAGTGACCATTCATGCCCTGATGGGCTCTGTCTTTGGACACAAACTTCCTCACACCCACCATGAGGATAGTGTGGTCTTATCAACCGACATGGATGCCTGATTGCATCAGCTACATAGTCTCAGGTTGTGGTGTTTGAATGATCCCGGGAGACACCAAAAAAACCTGCCACACCGGCATTCCCCCGCACGCACCGAGAAGACACAGCTCAGCAAAAAGCACCTCGATCCCCACCACGGTGAAAGACACATCAGCTTTTGGTCAAAACCCTCAGAGTTTCTGACGCAAGACCAGAAAAAGGAAGCGTCAATACGCTTCTATAAGAAGAAGGGGAAGCGGCAAAACGCTTCTATAAGGAGAAGGGGAACAAAGAAAAAAACAAACAAGTCATGCAAGTCATGCAGTCATACAAGTCACGTATATGGTACTGCCATGCAGTAAACCGAGGTTTACAGTATACTGTCCCCCAAAAAACAAAAACAACGTTGCGAACGCGTCTGGGCAGTCATGCAAGTCGATCTCCAAGCCAGTACAAATGGTGCTCAGCAAGATCACAGCGCCCACCGTCGACTCAAAGGCCTCAAAGCGAAAAGCGGATCAAACCAACGGGTCCACTCCGTGGTCTGAGTGAAAATAGACCTGATTTTGGTTGATTTAATCTTTTGATCAGGTATACTATATATACAATTTTCCAATAGAATCCTATAGATTTGTTGAGGAGTTTTGAAGTACATCAGGATATGATTCATATGGTATTCTGTATGTAATTATGTTTGCAAGCTTTTGGTACATGCCGCTGCCCTTTAGATCCCTTTAGTATCCTATTGTCCTGGCATCTGTGAAGCATGCCAAAATGGGATCTGGGCTGCGGTCTTTGACAAACACTACCCACCATATAGTCTTAGGTCCGCAGTGCTACGATGATCCTGCAAACACTTACGTACCCCAACAAGAATCAGCTGGATGGCATTGTTCGCATGACATTCTCATACTCTCTCAGTCTGACTGGTAGACGGTAGACCTGTCGTGGTCTTGTCTTTGTCTCGACATGCTGGCGCCAGACCGCCAACGGTGGACGCCGGACGCCGGCTGATGTGAACACTTGGCGCCCCAGCAGAGTGTTCAACCTCAGGTTGCCAATCCAAGTGCGAAGTGGGTGGCTGCCAACATCTTCGTGGACCACATGACTGCCCCAAAGGACCAGGGGGCACACTGCTGGGCGACATGGAAAACATGGACCGTCCACTGCAGCCAAGTCATTCGACCACCGTCACACAAAGGGGCATTGTGGCACTCACAGATCCATTCATTAATCTATGAATTCTATGAGCGAACCGGTGGGCCGTTCGTCAGTGCTTCCAGCGCCCACTGTCCAAATCGGTCACCAGTGGGGAGGGAAGATCTTGCAGAAGGGGGAAGTGGGGGCATCAGCGGAGGTTCCCTCGTTGCCTGACGTTGTCTTCAGGATTGAAGACATTCCGAACAGCTAGCAAGGCCAAGTGTTGCCAGACTCAGGGTCATGCCATTTCTCCAAGATATTGAAACAATATATTAATTATTAATGATTGACATTGAACATATTTTCAACCATGCGTGTTGCTTCGATGTCATGTTGTAGTCAAGAGCAGTGTTTCAAACGATCCTTGCAGTGTTCAGGTAGCAGTCAGTTGTGTTGTCGCTCTTAAGAAATACCCCTGAAGCAGTGGTCCGGAAATGGGAGCTGGGTCTTCATGCGAATGATCATGGAAGACAATATCAAGAAATGATTGGGTCGTGAAATGATCATCATGAATGAGGAATCAAAGCCGAAGCTGATCCATGTCTTCCATGCGAAAGCCGACACCTCGACGTTACCGACACGTTGAGACACCTGGGAGCGGTGAGAACCGTTCTGACGGAGCCTCGACCAGGAAGACCAACGGTGGTCACGCGTTCCGAGACTGCAAGGGGTCAGACTTGGAATTGATGCCAAGCTCTCCAACTTTGGAATTCGAGCTACCCTAAGGATCCGCACCCTCAAACAAGGGTTTTGAGGGTACATGAGGGTACAAACCCTGGTTTTAGAGGGTTCGACCCCTTCTAAGGAGGGTCCAAGGATCCCTTAGGGTAACCAATCTGACTTTCTGGAGATTCCCGACCCCAGGCCCCAACACCACGGCCCCTGGCCCATGGAGGGTTCTCTTCGTCAATGCCTTCAATCTCAAGGGCCTCAACGAGTCGGGTGGACACCCCGACGTCCAGAAACACCTGGAACACGGGCACTTGGTCTTCCGCGGAAGCCGCATACCACTAGACACAAACGGAACTAATTGGAACGAATGATCACGGCCCTAGGGCTCCTGGCCATTCTCCTCAGAAGGTGGTTAGACCCCCGAATCCCACCCCAACCACCGAACCTGAGGAGGGTTGGAGCCCTAGGGTTGAATCATTGGATCAACCGGATCCACCGTTCTATCTTCGAGATACAAATGGCACAGCGAGAAAGATCGATGGTAACTGGATGTATCTGGTCACTATATGATACAGTATTATATGATCATAGAGGCCCGTACATGCCTGTACCCAACGTGATGGTGATGATCTTGCCCAATTCTTGCAGGGAATGGGACGAATGCATCATAAAGCACCTTGATGCAGCTCTCAAATGCAAAAGCCAGGCGAGCTGGTGGGTTTTACATGACTGCCTTGTAGGTGCCTTTGCTGTCCCATGGAGTGTTTGCGGCTTCAGCCAGGTTGGTCTTTGGGCACTTCGGATGCGTTGCGCATCGGATGAAACGGGGCACATCGGACGGAATCCAAAGCACTGGAAGCGAATGACATGCTTCAACGCATTGAGCCATCTGCGAAAGTGACGTGTTTGGACAGCCCCGTAGCTGTGGCCAAATTTTGGTGTACTTTGGATGATGCTTATACATGCTTATACTGTGTGACTTCTGGTGTCCTGCCCTCCTCTAGGGGCAACAACAATTTGCAAATGCCCCACTGGGGAGGTCTCAGAAGTGCAACCACCTCCGCCGATTTCATCGGTGACTTCGGTACAGGCGTCGGATCCGCGATCGTCTTCAGAAGGCGTTCGTGGCCTTTCGCCTTTTTCTTCGTTCGACGCGCCTTCTTCCATTCAGAGTCTTTGACCTTCTTCTCCTTGTGGTCTTCCTGCAGGACGAAACCCAGGAAATTCCCGGGTTCCGGAACCGGTTGCGCTGGCCGAAGACGAACTGCATGAGTCTTTGTCTATGGGGTTATGGATAGTATTGGGGGGACCTCCGGCTTGAGAGGTGGAGCTTTCTTTTAACAAGTGCATCCTGTTCGAAGATGCCTCCGGGGCCCTCTTCACACACGGCGGGGTGAAAGCAAATCACGAGGTATACGACAAGCACCAGGAGACCCAAAGGTCTACTTCTTGGTGACCCAAAGGTCTATGCCTATTAATGACCCAAAGGTCCACCCTTTAAGCTTTCAAACAACAATCATCCCTTAGGGTCTCCTGGTATGGAGCATTTTCAGCTCCACACTCTCCACACTCTCCCCACGTGTTCACCGTTTCTCCGTCTGGTCCGCTGCCCCCCCGTTTCTCACGAAGCCCTGCGCCTTGGGGCCGTTCGGCGGCGCCGGGTATTGTCGGAAGAACCGGCCGCGGAGTTGCCCGCTCCCTTCGCCTTCATCGCCTGGCGAGGCGGCAGGGCGAGGCGGGTGAACAAACAAACACACAGAATATCAGCAATCATGTATATATGACAGAAAGAGTACCAGCACATGATGCCTTATTGTGAAGACATGAACCCCAAATAATAACATAGAATAATGATGTGGTCCTTTAAAATCCATCAGCTTCAGCTTCGGTGTCCATCAGTTTTGGGGTGAACCAAACCTTGGCTCGCTTGGACCGGGATGGGATGAACCAAAGGGACCCTCTTCTTCAGCTCTGACGAGGTCCTATCATCAATGCAAGTGGAGTTGGGGTCCCTCTTCTTCAACAGAAAGTAGTCTTCCAAGGGACCATGCCATCAACTTCCATGTTAGTGAGTTGGCATACTGGATGGACCTTCAGCCAGTGACATAGATGGTTCATGGGCAAAAACTGTGACCAAGAGGCCATGAGGCTGTTGTTTCTAAGGGAAGGAAGTCTCCACTGTCTGAGAAGGCACTTCGCTGAGAAGCACGGTGATGGGTTGATCTTGTGGACCGCCCTGAAAGCTAATGTAAAATCTTGACTAATAACTTCATAACCCCTCCCCAACATGGACTGTAAAACCTAGCTCTTCATTTGTTTGGGGGTTGAAGCTGCCAAACCACCTGGAAGCTACAGCAATGAACGGATATATATGTTGTTTGCGTTCTTGCTTCGTCCGGTGATCCACTCACCGGGTAGGTTCTACTTCTGGTCAGCGGAGTTGGCTGACGAATCGTCCGTGTTTTCACAGCATCAACAGCAATCAGAAAACAGAGATGTGGATGTAGCATATATACAATACCACTGACTATATATACATTAGCCTATAATTAGGTGTATAGCTATTGTATAGCATTTGTTTGGCATATAATATAGCATATTATATTATAGCATATAGTGCCACTGAAGTCAAACAGTCTGCCATGTCTACCAAAATAAACTTCCGGATTCTCTGTCGATGACAAGGCCTGGCTGCTAGGCACCGACAGAACACTCCCGACATTCGCCGCAACGGGACATGGTGACAGTAGACACCGACATGGCAAAGGTGTTTCTTCGGTTCCATTGTCCAAGTCCATGCTGGTTTTTGCGAGGAAAACATCTGAAACATAACAAATACGGTATTACGGTAATTAAAACACATAAACACACATAGTTAATTTGATTCACCTTCACATAAAACAACTGCATGCGTATTCCAAGGCCCCTTTGAACTATCCAGCAACTGTCCAGTCGCACAATAGTAACCTCTCCCAGCCACTCGTCGTCCCTCCGGCACCTTCAAAGGACAATACCTCAGAGCCTCCCAAGGACCACCTGCAGATGGTGCCGGCATTGTGTGTGTTCAAGACCGCACATGGCTATCACTGATATACATATATATATATACAAGCTTGACGTGTGTGTAGTGGTATGATATATATATATATATGTCTGTTCTCTAGAACCTACCTTGGCATTGCAGTTCATATCCTTTCATCTTGACGAACTATCACTCAAGGAAGCACTCTTAAGCGGGAAGCGAAACTTTCGCGCACTCGGTGTGTACGACGTGCACCCGTGAGTGCAGCAACATCCAAACCTCAAAAGGAAAGACGGACTCTGAAGCCGGGATAATTAAGATGATGAATACGAAGATATTGTTTCTAATAGCTTCTTGCTCCTAGTAGTATGGCCAGGAGCCCCTAGTAGCGTCCTTGCTCCTAGTAGTAAGGCCAGG